TTGGTGGACACTTTTGGGTGAAATGCCAAAATAACCAGCATGCGAGATTCGATATATAAATATAATTGTAGTAAATATGTTCGCAATTTCAGACAATTTTCTGCCAAACTGAACAGTATTGCATTGTAATGTGAAAAGGAACGTGGGAATTTTTATTGTGGGCATTTTGCGATATGTTTAACGCGATGGAGACAGAAAATGGACACGCTTACCTGACGATTAATGAGAAAGTACGTCCAGGCAGTTAGAGGACGCCTTTGGGCTTTCAAGCTTAGCAGGAATAGCATTTATTTATTTATAACAAATGGCAGGCGTTTTGATAGTTATCATTATCCCTTTAGTTGACTTCGGGCTTCACAGAGGGGAAGAGGAACATCAAAGTGAGAAAAAGTATAGAGGGGGAATAGAAGAGTGATTTACAGATGTAAAAGAAACTGACAGACACAAAGGGTCAGAATGGGTAATATGAGTACTGTGAAAGGGGTCGAATATGACATACAGTGGGGGTGATGGCAGTTTAAAGTCAGAAGTCAACTGCCGATTTGTAGACTTTTTTGCCGTATGATTATACGTTGCCCAGGGTGCACCACGAGGAGGTAAGTCTGTCCCACACCCCGCAGGAATAGCATATAGTACTGTAGCTGCTCCTTATCAAATCTACTAAAGGAACTCAAGGCCAAAACCTTAACAATTTTAAGACAGTGGACTAAAGAGCTTTTGAAATCACTTTTACTGAAGTGGGGGGTGGGGAGGGGGGGGAATGAGATTAAAAGCCAAAAAGCTCTATGTGACACAATTGAAAATGTCGTCAATGTCAATAAAGCATTTGAGAATAAGCTATTTGACCAGAAATTAGATTTATTTGGCTGATAATTAGTTAAACATGTCAAATTTCAAGACCTCAGGCCTAAATCCACTTCCATTCTACTTTATTTAATACGACCAAATAGATTGAGTTCGTGCTGCAAACCCTTTTTTGTCTTGCTAGACTCAATGGTAAAAAAATTAGGCTTATTTTACGTGAGCAATTCTTCTTGCGTTTAAGATGGTCAATCTTACCAATATAAATTACTTTCATAAGTACCCTCTCTAACGTAACATTTATTTATTTATTTATATCAAATGGTAGGCGTTTTGATAGTTATCATTAGCCCTTTAGTTGACTTCAGGCTTCACAGAGAGGAGGAGGAGGAACATCAAAGAGACAAAAAGTCGAGAAGAGAAACAGAAGAGTGATTCACAGTTGTAAAAGAGACAGACAGATAGACATAAAGGTATAAAAAGGTAAGATGAGTACTGTGTTAGGGGTCGAATATGACAAATGGTCGGGCCATAGTAGTTTGAAGTCAGAAGTCAACTGCCGATTTGGTCATGGTAGTTTGAAGTCAGAAGTCAACTGCCGGTTTTGGGGTGATGGCAATTTGAAGTCAGAAGTCAACTGCCAGTTTAGTGAGGTCATGGTGGTTTGAAGTCAGAAGTCAACTGCCAGTTAAAGTGATGGTAGTTTGAAGTCAGAAGTCAACTGCCGGTTTACGGACTTTTTGCCGTATGAGTATACGTTGCCCAGGGTGCACCGTATACGTTGCCCAGGGTGCACCTCGTGGAGGTAAGTCTATTGCGCACCCCCTCTAACGTAACATAGAATTGTGAGATGTTCAATCTATTTTATTAGTCGCTTTGAATATGCTTGGTTTCAAAAAAGCCCATTCACGTTGGACCATCAATTTTTACCCGATCGGATTTTAAGTTGTTTTTTAAATGCCTTGTTCCCTATTACCAACATTTTGAGCTGCAGTCTACTAATTGATCAACGATTTCAAGACTGTTAAGGTGCGTTACGTTTGGCATAAAGCTCCACTAGTCACGTGGTAGTTTTAGAAGCATTTAAGTGGTTGGAAATAACTGGGTTTAAACATCCCGATATATCATAATTTAGTATTATAAAGTGGAAATAAATCATATTTTTTTCTTAGAATAACTTTCACAGATTGATATATATGGTAAAATTTGCAAAATCTGAGGGGGTTATTGAGGAGTAGAAGTAAAACCATTAAGTGTCATTATTGATTTCTGGGATCTGTGATTATATTGGGAGGCTAATTAGGCAATAGCAGAGAGAACGAGAGTTAGACTAGTAGTATAAAATTTAACTAAAATTTTAGCAGTTGGAAACAACTTGATGAAAATGGCCCAGTATCATAAGCAAAGAACATTACTGAAAATTATTGAATATTATCATAATTAGCCAACTATTAAGTTTTAATATTTAATTTGAAATAACAAGGTACTTTACACCTAATTATTAGACTTAGCTCGAAACCATTGAAGATTCGATAGCGTTGCTGGGTAAATTCATATTGCATGCAGCTGTAGAAAGTAAAGCATTTTATATGGTATGGCTTTTCCAACTTCAATGCATTTCGTTGCCAATAAATAAAATGAACTCAAAATCTGGATAAATATTTGTGCTTGAAAAAAAGACGAATTTCATAGTTATTAAAATGGAATATCGCCTTGGAAGAACGAAGCAAAGCAAAATATATTTACAAGCTGGCAGACAGCTTAAGCTATGTATGAATTAAGTCATAATGCAAATGAGCGTCATTACAATGACACATAAATTCTTGCTAATGTTGAAGATGAAAGTGGAAAAAGTAAAAAAAAGGATGTATTAAATCTTTATGCCCCAACCAATGATCACTACTGAGGCATAAATCAGAAAATAAATAATCAAGAAGGGGTGTGGGATAGACTTACCTTCACGTGGTGCACCATGGGCAACATCTAATCATACGGCAAAAACGTCTATAAACCGGCAGTTGACTTCTGACTCCAAACTACCATGACCCGACTGCATGTCATATTCGGCTCCTTCAACAGTACTCATCTTACCTATTCTCAGCCTTTGTTTTTGTCTGTCTCCTTTAAACCTTGAATCATTATTCTGTGCCCCTCTCGACCTTTTTTGTCACTCTGATGTTTCTCCTCTCTATGAAGCCCGAAGTCAGCTAAAGGACTGATAATAACTATCGAAACGCCTGTCATTTGAAGTAAATAAATAAATGAACAAATAATCAAGAACTCCTAGCTCAAAAAAATTAAAAATAATACAGGTTTTTTACTTCAAAAGAAAGCGTATATACACGTTAAATAAGAGCTCTTAAAAGGGCGACAAGGCAACAAAATTCTCATCAATACGAGTACTCTTTGCCGCTATTTGCCATGTTCGCTTTCTGCTATCTCTTCGACAACATCCTCCCCAGTTCCAACATCGTCGAACACATTTTCATCCTCGAGTCGCGACGCCTGGGCGTCTTGAAATCTTTGTTGAATTATTGCTCTCAAATCCTCGGGCATTAGTGAGGCTGAAATGCAAAATTGAACAAATAATTAAGCTATTCTCTTCTCTCGGACCAATCAATAGGTCGAAAGTAAGAAAAAATATATTATGTCAACCAATAAATATACCCGTGAAAAATAATCAGGTGGTTTCAATTGAAATCTAAAAACACCTGGATGTAATGGATAATATTAATGAAGTGGGATGCGCGATAGACTTACCTCCATGTGGTGCACCCTG